GGTTTAGGGTAAACCCTAAAACCCAGAAAACGCGAAAAAAGCCAAAGGCCTTGAACACTGCATGGGCCAGAAGAAGACCCTGATATACAAAATTTAGCCCGTATAGGGATTCCCCTAATTTTGGAGACACATGGGGTTAAGGGTTAGGGCTTGGGGCGTAGAGTTTAGGGCTTAAAGATTAGGCGCATCTTATAGCCCCGGAATTCCGATGCTTTGGGGGTCCTAAGTGGTGTTGCCTTGCTGCTTCAGCTTGCTGTGGAGCGAGGCTTCATGTTGCCTCTGTAAGGCTTAGGGTTCTGTACTTCTGCACCTAAACCCTAAAGCCCAAACCTCTTCGTCGCTTGAGTTCGAATTACTGCTCAAGCAGCATGCTACGGGTGGCAAGTACTAGCACCATCAAGTGCCAACTACCTTGGATGATAGGTTCAGTTACACCTGAGACGTTTATAGGATTCAGGGTGTAGGGTTTAGTGCTTGTACTCTCAGTGTTGGACACCCTCCCCTTTGATCTCATCACCATTTATCCAGGGAGTACCAGCGAGGAAACAGATCTGTACATCAGATGGCGAAGCAGACGGCTGCGGAGGACACAACCAACGTGACGCACCTTGGCATCCACTCTCCAACCGTTGCTAAGCCTAGATGCACCTAAACTTGTCCCTGAGCAAGAGTACAGTACATATAGGACCTAGAAAGTGTAGCGAGCATGGTGGAATTTTTGAAAATCTTCTTGATGAGCACTGTATACCTAGTGACATGCTGAGCCCAGGTTATTTCCTGCTGATTGTTCAGAATAGGGCCTGTATGATATTCTACAATATCAATCAACATCATATATTGTCATAGTATATGTGATATATTATGTTATGTTATATTGTATCATAATATATTGCAGAATATAATGTTTTGGGGTTGAGGGTTAGGAGGTTTCTACGGTCGAAAGCTTCACCTCTGCTTGCGCGATGCCAGGTAAAGCTCTTGCGAACATTATTGGCCCTTCTGACCAATTTTTTTCCAGGGTTTAGGGTTGAGGGTGTACCTGGTGTTTGGCGGCACAATATGAGCCACCATCTAAACTCCTCAAAAAGGGGCTATATAGGGCATGATATAGGGGACTATGCTAAGGGATACTAAGGGAGATACTACGAGTTTAGACTATAGCTCATATGATACCTGACCAGGCAAAAGCTTCAAGAGCCGGCTGCATGCAGGGCATATGTTGCAATCATTCACAGATTCTGGGGAGATTCCTTTAGCGAAAATATCCAAAGAAAGGATGTTGTGGAATAGCGTGCTACATTATTGTGTATACTTCCACCTAATTGAATAAGGGTACTTCATAATGACACCCACAGTTCAACTATGTCCCAGTCCTGTTTTGTGTTGCCTTGTTGAGACTAGAGAGGCATCTCGGCAATCTTCTTTGCGCACTGAACTCAACATCAACCGGAAAGGCCTGGGTCCCCAAACTCGAGCTTGTCGTCCTCCCAGGTATCAGTTCACCGGGGAAGATCACACCTTGGGGAACGCACTGCGGTACATGCTGATGAAGGATCCGGACGTCGAGTTTGCTGGATACACTGCGCCTAAGCTTTTCAATTTCTACGGCAGCAAAACTTCACTGTTTAGTGGTATGCCTTCTTGTGACTTATCAGCTTCCTGCTTCCAATTTAATTAAGTAGGATGAGCGCCAAACGAGCGCCACCAGCGCCAGTACCGCCGTAGCCACCACAACCGCCGCCGCTGCAGCCAGCAGCAGCAGCACCAGCACCACCACCGCTGCCGACGCCGCCAGCGCAAACGCAGGTGCAGGTGCAGGCGTAGTCACAGGCACCAGCACAGGCACCAGCACACGCACCAGCATCCGCCCGCACGAGCATCCGCACCAGCACCGGCACCGCAACAATGACCACAACCACCACCACGATTGCAACTCTTTCTGTTACCGAAAGTGCTGGTCTCAGGTTCCCCACCCATCGGAGCCGCAGATGAACGTTCGGGTGCAGGTCCATCCAGGGACCACGACAGATGTAGCTTGGTTTGGTTTAGGGCTTAAGGTCAGGGCTCAGGGTTTATGGTTCAGGGTTTATAGGTAGGGCATGAGGGCCTATGTAGCTTCTTGCATCCCTCCTGTTGAGTCCCCATCAACGTCAGCTATCTGGGACTTTCCCTCGCAAGCCAGCAAGCTGGTGTGGAGTCCCGAGCTGAAAAAAGCAGAGAGCAGGTTAGAAAAATAGCAAAACTATGTGAGCTATAGCCTTAACTCGAGAAAGGTGGTTATACAAAGGATTATAGAAGGGACTACTGTATTACAGGGGTTACCACGGGGCATGCTAGGAGTTTAGACTATAGCTCATTTGGGTTCAGTCAAAGGTTCCTGAACCAGTTCCCTACACAGCACACACCCGCCGCAGCCCCCCCCAAAGGATTTCGGGCTGCGTTTTATGTACGCATGAGGTCTCAGGGCCCGCATTCGAAGTGTGACGGCCCCGGCCCCCAAGAAATCACAATGATGAATTGGCATTCCTTTTGAGGCGCCATCTTAAGCCTGAAGCCCTCAACCCTCATTCGCAAAAGCCCTTAAACAACTGCAAGGTGCCCGAAAGCTCTGTGCACCCTGCATGGATCCTCTCACCTGAAAACCGTTAACTCTGGAGCCTCAATCCTAAACCCCTGGACCTTAAGGCTTAAACCCTAAGGCACTTGCAGGATTTAGGGTCCTGCGTTAATAACCTAAGATTCAAGGAGTAGTTAGGGTACTGCCCCCCCTCAGTAACAGTTGGATAATACGTATAATATGGGTATATATAGCCCTTAATATAGTGTCTAAGGGCTTATGTCTCTTGAGCTTAGGCCGCCGTGGAAAGAGCCTTGGACAACATTTCGGCGGTTTGCGATCACGCCGGAGTCTCAATAGCTATAGTCCCCTGTAAGTAAATAGAAGATGGCTTACGGTACATTATAATAAGGTCCCCATATACCCCATATTCTCTCTACTTGAGGAGGACTATAGGTACCCGAGTACACTTTTTCTCTTTTTGTTTTGGGATCTCCTTACTAAAGCTAATTATTAGGAAAAGGGTACCCTTATTGTAAGGGGGTACTGGGGAACCTAGATAGGGCACAGGGTCGATTTAGGGTTTAGTTCAGGCCTTAGGTTTTTGGGCTTAACCAGGTTTGCTATAACAGTTTCCGAGGGCTTTGGGGTGAAATGTGTGTGTATATGTCTACATGTATAAGGGGCATGGCGGAAGTATCTGAACTATGTGGAAAGCCTAAACCCTAAACCCTAAAGCCGAAATGTTGCATTTTTCATCCTGGGTTCCTGAGAGATTCTCCAAACAGTTTCGTACGATTCGGGTAGCGCCCCTGCTTATGCCGAGCACTACGGTGGATACCAAAATCCTGCATGACCCTAAGTACCCTAAACCCTAGCAATTAAGGTATTATAGTGTAATAAGTTCAGGCAGGATTTTTAGTACCAACAGTTGCACTATTAGGCGTCAAGGTTTTCAAAAGGGATCCAGCCCATACCCTCGAGCCAAAAAAACTAAATCCCAAAAGGCATACTGCTTTAGAAGATCGTATAGCTGCATCTGTGTGGTACGGTAGCTGTCACACAATCTGAGGCACCTGTCCCTGAGCTTGCCACCCTTAACCTAAAAGCGTACACCCTCAACCCTTAAACCTAAACCAGTAAAAACTAAAGCCTCAACCCTGAACCCTTCAACCCTTAATTAATCCTAGGCCTTGAACTCTTAAAACCTAAGCCCTAAACCCTAGGTTGAAGGCTAAGGGTTTGACGAATAGGAATATGAAGTATGGGGCTTACAGGATTACTTCATGAATGGTGCTGAGTTACAGGCTTAGGCCTGTATTACGTAACCCTAAACCCTATAAGTCCTAAACCCAAAACCCTTGTTACGTGACGTAGAGCTCGGCGTCAGGAAGTTGGGCTTTTCGATTCAGGAGGCTCAGGGTGTCACACCTAGCCTAAACCCTATTTGGAGGTTCATGGCACTTAGTAAAGACTTAGAACTGGGTTTATAACCACATTTATAATCCCCCTAAGTGGCCTTATAGGAGTTTCCCTAGCTATAAGTAGGGTGATAAGCCCAGTTAGAAGTAGTTACTAAGCTACTACGTCCCATGAACCTCCAAGTAAGCCCTTACATCCTCCACAGGTGAGTTCACCATTTTTACTCTAATTACTAGTAATCTTGTTGTCATTACGATTATCGGTAGTATTCTTATGATGGTCATTGTTGATATTATTACTATGCTTACAACTACTATTTTACCATTAACATTACTACTAAGAGTTTTACAGTGGTTATAGCCGAAAAGTATACGCAGAGAATTGGCGATTCTTAAACTGGTTGGAGGTTCCTGGGTTTAGGGTTTGGGGTTTTGGGGACTTCAAGGAATCATCGTGCCTTGGACAGGGGCCATCATAAGTCTTTTAGCGGCAACGCGCAGGAAAGCAGCACATGAGCGTGTGTTTGAAGGGCCAGAAGCTACTGTTGATATCACACATCCGCATGGCATCAGGCTCCTTATACTCTGGGAATTCTGGTTTAGGGTTTAGGGTACAGGATTTAGGGTTTAGGGCCTGGTAGAACAAGATCATGCAGGATTTCAATCTCCTCTCCCTAGCATAAGAACTCTCCCTCTATAAAAGATTCCCGTTGCGGTGTGCTATAACTTATGTGCAATATTGATTATAGAGTACTGAGAGGGGCGTGGTTCATATGAGCCATAGTCTAAACTCTCTGTATCCCTCTTGCTAACCCCTAGAAAACTCCCTATATGACCCCTTTACGGAGTTTAGATTATGGCTCATATTGGGGGGAATGGATTCGAATGCACTGCATGGGTCCTGTTTTCAAAATTAAGACTTGGCAGCAGGCGTGCTAGAACTCAGTCTATGGACCCAGACAGTAGATAGATAGCTTTCGAAGTTTGAAGTTGCCATCTCCCCTCTCCCCCAAGAAAGAGAGAAAGGAGTTATACAGAGACTATATACTCCGAGGTTCAGGGGATTTAGAAACTACTTAGAGCTGGGCGAATGACTCTACTTATAAGCCCCCTAAATGGCCGTATAGGAGATGCCCTGAGTATAAATAGGGTTATAGGCCAAGCTATAAGTAGTTACCAAGTGTCATGAGCCTCCAAGTAGGCACATGTAGAGACATGTCAGCTTGCGCTTGGTGAGGTCTTGAAGACCTACAAAAAGGCCGTGACAGCCCATGAGAACAAATCCTAGACGTCCTCGCTGGCGCTTCGCAGCTTAAAAAAACGCTGGGCCTCATCAAATGCATGGAATGAGCTTTGGATTTAGGGTGCAGTTGCGTACGGGTTCATGCGCGCTAACACCTGGCCCTAAACCTCTGAGGCTCATCAGTTTAGGAACTCCTGAAACTGGTACCTAAACCCCACATGTAGGCAGAATGGCGGCCCAAACGCCCAACAAATGTTCAATACACCATTATTCTGGGGCTCTTGGCAAGAATCTTGCAAGGAAAGCTAGGGAATCAAGAGCCAAGACTTCCATCACGTTTAGGGAGTTTGGGGCTTGTACCTGGACCTCAAAAGTATAAAGATAATGGCCCAAAACCATGAAAATCAAACAGGTCATGATTCTAGGGCTTCAGGTAGGTCTTAGGGTTGGGGGTTTCAACGGATCCCAAAGTTTGTGGATGTAGGCTTCCGACATGCGTCATGTCTAGAGCGATTCCATCTAGCTTGGTTTTTCCACCGTGAAGCTGCTAATCTGTACTTGGAGGTTCATGGGACTTGGTAACTACTAGCAGCTGGGATTATATAACCCTACCTATAATTAGGATATGTCCTATAGGGCCACTTGAGGGCGATATAAGTAGGGTTATAAGTTATAAACCCACTTGTAAGTAGTTACTAAGTCCCATGAGCCTCCAAGTAGGACTTCAGGCTAGGCGTCTCCTTGCTTAGCGCATCCCAAAGAGCAGCTTCGGTTTGCAAGCGATACTAAAAATCCTGCATGACCCAAAGGGTTTAGGGTTTTGGGTTTAGGATTTAAGTCCCTTCCTTGCGGATTGGTTATGGGTATTCCACGCAGGTCATGCAGAATTAGTATGAACCATAGCACTGCCCGACTACCTACCCTGTAGGACAACTATAACTCAGGGACCCCTATGTGTACACCTTTAAACCCCTACACAATCCCGGTTTGAATTTAGTTTTCCATTTTCTTGTCCATTTGATTCTGCATTGCAGGGCATAATATGGGCCCAAATCGAATCCAATAGAGGGTCACCAGGCCTACCGCACAGCCACGGCTCCAAACCCTTCGTACCGCATGGCGGTTCTTGACATGTTTTCGGGTCACACGGTTCAAGGTGAGACTTTTTGTTTTTCTTTTGGTTGTTGCGGCTCCAGTGCGTTCGATTTCGGTTGATTCGGCGCTTGCGCGAATAACAGTCTTCATCATTGAAAATGATAATGGTGAGCCCTAGGCTGCTTTGAGCAAAAAAGGTCCAAATCCTGAGGAACCCTGCGGCTTGGACTCTGACCCCACCCAATAGCAGTCTCCAAATATTGGAATTGTAGGAAGACCATGCCCTTGATAAGGGTTTAATGGGAACCCCAAAACAGAGAACCCAAGAATTTAGGAGGACTATACTAGGAATGTACCTACCAATGTTCCTTATATTCCTGTTACATTCCTACTGTATTGTTGGGGTTGCTTGTTTGGGGTTCCCATTTTACTCCCTTTAGTATATATAACTCTGGTATAGGCTGGGTCCTGATCCTTAAACGTCCTTCGATGTAGATTCCGCTAGCTTTGCGGGTTGGCAGTGCTCAACTTTATCACTTAGGGTTTAGGGTTTAGGGTTTAGGGTTCTGGCCGATTCTGCCCCCCAAGGGTTTAGGGTTTAGGCGTTTAACGGTTTAGGGGTGGGAACATCCAAAATCTTAACTGAATATGGGCCCCACTTGTGCTCTCTTCCCGAAGGTTTCCTCTTAATCATGCTTATTCAGGGACAAAGTACAGCTAGCTCAGGCAGAACCTTAGGGGGAGGTTAGTATATAACGAGGTGGCTAGGTAACCTGCAATTACAGGAGTGAAGCCCTGCACCCAATTTGCACGGAACCCTGAAAGTCAGGCTCGGGTTCAGGGTCCGGGTTTTAGGAGTGGCCTGGGGCAGTAAAGAACGTCTTGTTGGCATTGGGTCTGAACCGGGGATTCATCACATGGGTTGGCATTTGCATTCTTGGTGCCGGTGGGCGTCTGCAAGCTTCCTTATGCATAGTTGGTGAGTGCAGATACACGGTGTCTGATTGAGGAGACCATAGACATGATTTCACCTAGCATCAGGCACTGGTTCCTTCTCACGAAGCCACATGTTTTCCATGACCTCTATATATCTTAAACAATCCTTAACCCTAGACCCTGGACACTAAACTCTAAGGGGAATTGCAAGCTTGCTGTTTGCCCATGGCCAACCATGATCCAGCGGAAAATCTGTGGCATGGAGCTCTTGGCGGCTGCCTAGGCCCTAGTAGGGTTTGGGGTTACGGTTTGGGGCTTCTGGGGTCTATGTAGGTCCTATTGCGGGTATTCGGGCTCTGTAGAAGGTACTTACGGGATCCCTAAGTTTTGCAAACCTGCACGAATTCAAGCCTCAACAATCTCCTGCACCTGTCGCTTGTATCTGCAACCCGCAAACCCGACCAGACCTTGTGGGCCCCATAACCAAGAAAAAATCCCAGAATCATGCTAGGGTTCCGTAGTAACCCGAAACCCCAAACTTTTAAGTGTTTAGGGTTTAGGGGGTTGTGGGCTCTCTGGGGGGGACTAGGTGAGTTTTTGAGTCCAGTGAGACGGAGCCTAGAAGCAAGCGCCCGAGCAACCATAAGTACATCAATTCCATGCCCCTCCAAACTAACCCCCTAATATCAAATACTCCCAATATATTCTAATAAAGCACAATGGTCGTTTTTAATATTGGGGGTTTGTATGGAGGGTATCAGATTGGGCTCTCAGCGCATCGCTGGTTAGAGACAGCAATTATAGTCTATAGTCCCCCTTAACTAGATAGAATGTGGCTTTGGGTATATTATAAGTAGATTCCCATAAACCCCATATTCTATCTACTTAAGGGGGATTATAATCGTGCATCAATGAGAGATCCCTACGAAAGACACCACATACAGCTCCAGATGTTGCCCATGCATTGTTGCCCATGCATGTTGCCAGTGCCATGTGCACAGGCTTTTTCCTGCTGTCTTCCGCCTTTAGCGGTTCTCCTTTGCAGCCTAAACCCTAAACCGTAAGCCATAACCCCAATGTAGCCTTAAAACCCTAAACCTTGGGTACTGCCCCCCCCCCCTCAGTAACAGTTGGATAATACCTTTTAAATGGTTATATATAGCCCTTAATAGGACCCCTAATATAGACTGTTACTGGGTGGGGGCAGTACCTAACTTAAACCCTAAAACTTAAATGGTAGTTTCCATTTCCTTTTCCATTATCCCAATATAACCCCACTAGAAACCCTATATAATCCCTATATAATCCCTGTTTAATCCCTGTTTAATCCCTATATAAACCCTATATAAACCATATATAATCCCTATATATGCCATCCTGCTCGGAGGTGGCATCTTCTGCTGGGCTGTAGTTCAGCAGCAGGGTCCCAAAGCTGCGACCAGTGGCACAGGTGGCTATGGAGGCAGCAGCCGAGACTTCTGAGTTTAAGCGCGTTCTCGGCAAAATCATTGCTGGCAAAGGCGCAAAGAAAGAGAGGTAAGACCCATAATGTAGGTGGACCACCCCCCCCACCCAGTACCAGTGACTACAAGGGATAGTGCTGGTGATATTAGGGTTCTTTTGTAGTACTGTTGCAGGGTGGGGGCCTTCATATTCAGCCCAGGAGTGGACAAAAGAGATCCATGAAATACTCCACATGAAAGATTTCCCTAAATTCATGATACGACGGCTGCGTATAGTGGGTTTCCTATTATAATACCGGTCCCTATGGAAGTTCCCAAACAACCACAGTATGTGGTGCTATTATACTGGGAAGTTGTCCAACTCTTGGGCGGGTTGGGGGGTATTATTTTGGGGAGGTCAGCTTCATCCTGTGTAGCCCCTGTATAACCCCAGTTTCCACTTGACTTTCCATGTGATTCTCAGTTATTATGGGGGGGGGGCGAGAGGAATACTTCTCGTTTTGTATCAAGCCAGCACCTGAAGGCAACACTACGGGCGCGGGAGGCAAGAAAACGTACGTTGCGCTTTGCACCGCTGGCGGGTGCGATCAATCTACCCTGTCCAACTTTTCCGCGGAGGACAATAGGGTTTGATCAGGTCATTTGAGGCCCTGATGATCAGAAGAACTTGACTTTAAGAATCGTGCCCCTGAGCCCAATGTTGGCCCAACATGGGGGCTTTGTTGCAAGAGCTACTACAGCTGATAGCCTCCTGTTGTGTGACAATGTAGCGGCCTCAACGATGAACAATATTATCATCCTAGGTTTCTTGCAGAACTTTGGGGCTTGTTGGGGGCTATTTTGGGAGAATGGAAAATTAGAATAGAAACGACTATATGTATTATAGGGTATATAACGGGGTTACATATATACAGAAAGTATCTGTATATAGGTTTATGGTATGGCATACCGCAAATGGCCCTCTAAATGACACTGGTCACAACCCCCTATGCATTTCAGCCTTGTCCAGTTGACTCTCCTGTATTGTAACCCCAAACCTTTTCATTCAGACAGTAACCATCAACGCTAGGAAGCAAATACGACCCTGTGCTCAACCAGATGCAGTCCCCGCATCAGGTCTTCATAATCTGCAAAGAATCCCTCTGCTGTGTCCATCCATGTATCCCATGTACCCAGAAATCCCAACATCCCTTAATTAGGGAATATACCTGAAACCATATAATATAAGGGATCCTAGTATCATTTTAGGGCACATTCCCTAATTAAGGGATATTTGGCTTTCTTGGTAGTTCTCCCAGGACGTCATCAGTCACGTCGACATCGCACTTTTCTTCAAGCCTGTCAAAGATCATGCGGAGACATTGCAGACAGCAGGATTCCAAAAGTTGATGAAGGACAGCGGCTTCAGGTTGTGCAGGTAACTGGGATTACAGTATGGGGTTTGGGGTTAGAGTTTAGGATTGTGCTGAGGATTCAGGATTGGGCATTAGGATGCCGGCTATGAAAATTGGGATCTTGAATTTGGGACTTTTAATGCCATGAGGCCAAGGTTTAAGATGGCCCTTACTGAGGGACATGTGTAGTCTTCAAGAACTTCATTGAAGGCTTCCTTTGAAATCCACGTATCACGGGCCCTCTAGCAGCCCTTGATATGCATAAAACACATCAACCGGAGTCTCCGGATTAGGGCTTGGAAGTAGGGCTTAGGGCTTGGGGACATTTAGGATGTAGGGCTTGGGGCTTAGGAATTGCCCAGGGTTGAGGGCTTAATTTCAATGTGTTCTACGGGGGGTTGTTTAGTCCTTACCATGTTGCAAATTTGCCTGTGGCGTATGCCAGCCCTGAGAGGAAGGTGTGGCGAAATTTGCTTTCTTCGGCACTCAGGCTACTGTCCTGGACATGGCAAAGCTTGCTCAAGGACGTGTGCATGTGCTGGAGGCCGTCATGGGTCAGAAATCCTTTGCATTTGTTGAAGGAAAGCCAAAGGGATGGGTCAGTTAGGGTTTAGGGTTTAGAGTTTAGGGTTTAGGGTTTAGGATTTGGTGCCAAACAAAGTCCCAGAAGCAGCAAAAGCCTTGTTCTTAACAGGGTTTCTGGGCATTCAAACGAAGTTCCTGACGAGATCTATATGGCTTAATGTAGACCCATGATGAATAAACCCCTTCCTTTTAAGGGCCTTAATATTAGGATCCCTATTATATTCCCTATTAAGGGGAGGGGGTTCATTAATTACGGGTCTGGGTTAACCCTACACCCACAGCCAAGTGATAAGGTCAAGACAGATGCCATGACTTCCCTGGGAAGCTATCGGCAGGTGCTACCTGTGGTCTCGGGGAAACTCAAGCATTTTTACGCCCTAGACCTAAACCTTGCTGGAGTTTTTGGTTTCATCCCGTCCTCCGACGTTTAGACTTTGGCCCCAATGTGGGATACGTCTAGGCAGACACATCCAACATTGGTTAGGGGTCTTGCTACATTAGCGGACATTGATGGGAGCTGGAGGTCAGGTGCTAAACACAGAAACCTTTCAGCCAGGAAATATGTCGACCATTGCTCTCATTGCTTCATGCGATTCGGACGTGAGAACCCCGTCTACGTCTGCATGGGCAAGGGCTGTGCCGTTGGAATTAGCACCATCAAGACCCAAGCCTCAAGATTCGAAGACCTCACAGAATTGCAAGCGCTAGGCCGGATCCTTGCAAAATCCTTATACGACCCTTAAGAAGACCTTGCACGCCCCTAGTACCCTGGGACCACTTGTTTGAAGAACCCCCAGGTGTTCATCAACTTATGACAGATCTGCATGATTATTTTAATTCAGATGGAGCCATTTCCGGGGCAGGGCCCTTTGGTGGTTTCCGAAAACAAGAGGATCTGATGTCTCTGTCTAGGATCCTACAGGCTGTTGTCCAGATTCGGGCCACTGGACAGAGGGTTGCTATGGAGTTGACTGGAGGTTCGGAAGAGAGTGTGCTTTTTGACCTACATCTTGACGCTGAGCCCTCAAGGGAGCTTGCGGCAAAGGCCTCCGAGGCCCGTGAGAAGGGTGACGTGGAGAACTTCGATGTTGATCTTCCAATGAAGAAAGAGATTCTGTCCACCCAGCGTGTCTACCGCTGTCGTTTCCGCGTCGCAGACATCAAAACCGCCAAAGTTGAAGAGCTGGTGGTTCCTTTCATCACTTTCTCGGACATAGATCGCAATGGTCCTATGCAGATTGATATTTGTGACCTAGCCCACACCGCGCAAGAGAGCATGAAGGCAACTTTCAGACGGGACGACACTCGATCTTGCCAAGAAGTTGGTAATATTCTGTAATATTTGATAATTTGCATTCGACCAAAACCTATGTGAGAAGCCGGAATAAATCCCAGCATCATGCTCCTAGATTCCTTGTTAAACTATTGTATAGCGTATTTCAAATTGACCTCAGGAATGATCTTGGAAATATTTCTGGCATCCCTAAATTACAGTCCCTCCAACCCCTACATAACCCACTGTCCATTTCATCTTCCGTGTTCTTTTCCACTTTGTTCTCCATTGTTGGGGTAATATCCGCCTAAAGCCTGGATGGCCATCCTACACCCTAAAGCCGATGACCTTTCCTCTGTAGGGTGCTAGTTCTGAGGACAAGCATGGTATTGATTTCTTCGATCATGCCAACATGATGAATGCAGCACACCTCTGCATCTCTCAAACGCGTGCTGATATCATCTCGAAGGCCTTGGGATGGAGGGTTGGGGGCTTAGGGTTTAGGGTCAACCCTAGGCTCTGAATCCTAATCCCAAAACCCTAAAAACCTTAAACCCTAAACCCTAGGATTTGGGGGGCTTTGGGTGTAGGACGTGGGTATTAATCAGGAGCCTCCAGAATTCTTTCAGCAGATTGGCACTTAGAGGGACAGCTTAGGGTCCATGCTTTGGGGCCATTCTTGAGGGTCCCCTTTCTTAGGGTCATGTAAACCCTGAAGCTGGGATTGGGATGGGTTAGGGTTCAGGGTTTAGGGTTTAGGGTTTAGGGTTCGTAGGGTTTAGCACGAAAACGGTGGCTTTTTAAACCCCTCAAAACACTGGAGCCCCTGCCAGAAGGAAACCGGGGTATAAGACCAACAATGATCTATCCTACTACCAGCGCACTTGGAAGTTTTCTCAGGGGATAGCCCTAAGCCCAAAACCCTAAACCCTAAACATCCCATACCGCGTGCTTGATCCTCTTATACTCGAGGGTCCCAGAGTCCTTGCTTGAGACATCCGTTAAGGGCGCCTGATGGGGGTTTCCCCAAATTAGGGGTACCTCTTTCAGGCCGTAGAATACAGAATATAGTATATTGGGGTCTATATTGGGGTTCCCCTATTTTGGGAAAGTACCAAATCCACGACACTAAATAATTTCTTGATGGGCGCCACGCAAGGCTTTGGCCAAAGTAGATGCTGCCGCAAGGGACAGCGAGAACGCACGAACCGCGGAGGAAGCCTTCCGCAAAAAGCTTGCTGTTGCTGAAGTCTCCTTAGTGCTCTTTGGGGTTTAGTGTCTCTTAATGCAAAAAAAACTTCAGGAAACCAAAATTCCCAAGTTTTAGGGTATTCGGGATCATGCAGGAGTTTTGGTATCAACTGCCGTGTGCTTATTTCAAAATGTGGGTCATTATCCAGCCTTTACGTTTGTCTTTGTAATTTTTGTAGCGAATAACCTTCAAGAAGATAAGGAGCATACTGAGAATCGGCGTGTCTTTTCGCGTGCCCTAAACCTGGTCCTACTACCTTAAACCTTGGGTACTGCCCCCTCCCAGTAAGAGTCTATCTTAGGGGTCCTATTAAGGGCTATATATAACCCTATTATAATTATTATCCAGCTGTTAGTGAGGGGGGGGCAGTACCCAACTTAAAACCCCTAAACCCTAAGCCACCCACTGTAGGTTGAGGGTGCTCAGAACGGAATCGTGTCACACGAAAGCTTGAAGAAGTCCTTGGATGCCAGGCTGGTCAGTGAATTGATTCGGGGTTTAGCGTTTAGGGTTTATTCGGGGTTCCCTTTACCACCCGCCACTCTGCTATACTACCCCCCCCCCCGTTTTGGCTTCCCCTAAATGAAGCTTGTTTGTTTTAGGCGAATTACGGTCTAATCTAGGACCTACCTCAGAGTGGGGTGTAGTAAGGGAATCCAGAAGTTTAGGGTTTGTTTCTTTGTCTATTCGAATTTTTGCCTTAAGCCTTAAAAGCCAAAAGACTTTGGTCAAGTAAATGCAGTCTTTCTTCTAAGTGCTTTGGGAGGTTTTGGGTTTGGGGTTTAGGGCTGACTATGGAATCCGCGAGGGGAACCCTCTTCATCTCTTTGTAATCTGCGTCTATGCTATGCCAAAGGCACATAAGTGCCCCTGTATTTTGACAACCACGCCTCCCCCTCGCGTAACAGCTAAGGATTTCATGACTGCCATGAATGAAGCGTCTGAGAAGCATGCTTTCACGGTGAAGGAGCTTGAAGCAGAGACCGCCAAGGCCCATGCTTACCAGGACCCGCTCAGACAGATCCAAACTTGAATCCCCTACCCGCGCATTTTCTCCAAAGCATCTTAAAGTCGAAGACCCTCCAAAAAACACCTCTTCCCATAACTCTATTGTGAGAAATACTGCAAACAACAACTCAAGAGCCTCTCCCGCTTAGGTATATAGGGTTTAGGTTAGGTCGTTCCACCATAAGAGGTAGTAGGAGTTGCAATAGCCTACTACTAAAACTTCTTCAAAGATCTTAACTCTGAGGGTGCCTACTCCGAAGCGGAATGGTCGAAGGTTTGGTCCGTACAATTTTTCAGCCTGCTCCTTCATGCGCCAGCGCAGAATTAGGGTTTTGGCAGCTAGAAGACTAGCCCCTCATGGCACTGCTGCACGTCAGGTTTAAGGTAAACGATCAAAACCTAAATATTCCCAACATTGGGTTATTTGCACCCCTGGGGTTCTAGAGATGAACAACTTTGAGACGTGCTTTGGTTGGCTGCTTGGGGCCTAACCCAGACCACTGATGAATAACCCCCCTCCCCTTAATAGGGCTCATAATCGGGATCCAAATATTTAGTATAAAAGGAGGGGGTTTATGAATCATGGACCCCTAAACCCTAGACCCCTCAACCCTAAATAGTAGTTTTCATGTTCTTCTCCGTTATCTCTATATTAATCATGGGTCTAGATTACTTGTGGGGTTTGCAACCAGCTCTCCTGAAGGAGGAGCAGAACTGCCCTTTAAGAAGTCAGGAACAGCAATCTGTTTCGGGACTGTGCCCGAAAGGTGAAACTAAACCCTAAACCTTGCCTGGACCCCGAAAGTAGGTAAAATGATAGCCCAATATCTTTGAAATTAGATCAAAAGGCAATTATTCTACCTACTTTTGGGGCTCAGGTAATCTAAAACTTGAATATATATATATATATAGATTAAAAGGCCATTATTCTACCTACTTTTGGGCTTAGGGAAGCCTTAAAACAGCCTGGAAAGCACAAACCTGTGTCCAGGCACCTTTCAGGGCTCGTGGATTTGGGATTGGGGATAAGGAGGGTCGAGGCTCAGTCTTTGCCTAGGGTTTAGGGTGTAGGGTTTAGGGTGCAGGGGCTAAACCCTAAACCCTGAACCCTAAACCCTAAACCCCTAAACCCTAAACCCTATCTGCCTATCCGATCCATTTGGGCCAAGGCCAATTTGGTCACTGCACAGCTCTTTGCCTTGGGTCGACGCCTTCAGGAAGAATACGAGAGTTAACCGAAACTGTGAAATGCTTGAAAGGTCACCTC